AGAGAGAGAGAGAGAGAGAGAGAGAGAGAGAGAGAGAGAGAGTTTTTTACATATTTGAAATTTATTTTATTTGATTTTCTGCTCACAAATAAAACACACTATTCCAAAAATATGAAGATTTAATGTGTGGTAGCAACATTTCTTCTTTGGGCTTTGTGGACTTCCTCAGCCATGTATTTTTGATGTATTTGGTATAAACTCCAACATCCAAGAGCTTAGGTAATCTAAAGACAAGGTGCACTTAGCACTCCCCCTCTTACAGTGCAGGTGAACATTCAAAAAACACAAACGATTGTTTTGTGTTTGACAAAAAGAGAAGATTCATAAGAGCTTTACACTGAGGTGAGGAGAAACCAAAACAATAAACACCTTGATCACACCGTTTTGTAATTTTCCCAGGAGCTATGTCGCCAGCGTATGTCAATCAGGACGTCGGAGCGCGTGGAGCGGCCGGAGACCCTGCGTCACTCACGCCTCAACAGCGTGTCGTCGCAGTTCAGCGACGGCCCCGTCGGCAGCCCGTCGGCGCGCAGCAGCACCTCCTCCTGGTGCGAGGAGCCCGTGCCGGCCAACATGGACATCTCCACCGGTCACATGATCCTGGTAAGGATCCTGCAGACAGGAAGTGAGGAGCCATTTGTGTCATGAAGCACATGTGATTGGAAGAAGAAAAGGTGGACTGTGGCAGCAGGTTGTTTCCTGTCGCAGATTTTCACCTGAAGCTCCTGCTGTTCAACGTGAATTTAGCTGGTTAACTCTGAAACCAAAGGTTCTCAGCTTTCTGTAGCATTGATCCATGCTTTCCAAAGAAAATATGGATTGTGGAGTTGGAAAAAAACAGATTTTGACTTTATGTTAGTGAAATTATACCCACAGATTTAAAGACTGCAGGCTTGTAGAAACCAGTAATAGCAATAAAACAAGGGGAAAACTGAAAACTGTGATTATGGCTAAATAGCTTAAGATATAGATTTATACTCACAATCATTACATTCAGAAAACATGCAGAAATTAAAACAAGTTTACCACATGACTATTTAGAGGTTTTGTATTTTACACRAAGGTAAACCCATTTTTACTCCTCCTTTTTTAAAAATAAGATTTGCTGAGAACTGTCTTATTTCTGTCTCTTTATCTGTTTGGTTGCATCTCTCTTTCATCCCACTCTCTCCTCATTCCCTTAAGAACCCAGATATCTTTTCTTCTTTCATTGCTCTTCCTGCTGTTTTCCCCCTCCTGCTTTATCTTCGCTCGTTTTTTTTTCTCTTCGTCACTTCCTCCTGCTTCTTTTCTTTCTTTCTTTTTTTCTATTTTTCATTCCTTCTCTTACTGCTTTGTTTTCTGTGATGGGATCCACACTAAAGTGAAACATCATTACCTATTAGGAGGTTTTGCCACCGTTTCCACAAACACACAATGGATTGTTTTAATTTTGCACAACTTACATTAAAAAAAACCTGAAAAAAAAGCTTGATAAAAGAGATGGATAGATGCCTCACAGTGTTTCCATTAATGCAGAGAGCATTCATCACTCTGCAGCATGTCTAGCTTTTATACTGGGAGGCTATAATGAATGAGAGTGAATCTGAGTAATGCCTTGTATTGGTGGTAATAGATGGGTTTTGTTGCACTTGTCAAGGCTTGTTTGTGAGGCCCCTTTTGAAAACATTGACAATAGAAAAGCATTTAGCTGCACAAATAACAAAAGAGCAGCGGTGAATCATTTCTAGGAGCTGCTGTTATTATTAGCCCTGGTTTCGTCACAGCAGCATTAGAATATAGAAAGGTAAAAACACCCTGGGACCTCTGCTGCTCTTTCAGGCTCTGATTGACATGAAGATGTCCTATAAGGGCTCTGCTTTAAAATTCTGCCACCATCTCACGTGAAACCATGTGTGAGATTGCCTTGTTATCACTGATCTCAGGCCGATATTTCTCCATCTCTGCTCTCTTGCTCTTTGGAGCTCATATTGTGAATACTGAACTCTCCAAAGCCCTCTTACTGGGAGTCCTTTTCCCCCCCTTTCTTTTTGTTTTTCAAACCCAATCACCTCGCACTCGCGCACACGCTTTATAAGACTTTTTTGTGTTGTCAGTATAAATCGTTGTGTCCCACTGTGCCAGCCAACCTCAAGAATTTAAAAAAAAGTCTTGCATAACGAAGTTCAGAGCTGGAATTGGACGCCTTTGTGTGCTGAGTCATCTGCTGTGTGCGCTTTCAAAGCTTTGACACGCCTCTGGTGTCTTACATCTTCCTTCTTTTGCCTGCTTCAGCGGCTCTGTGGTGCTAAAAACTGCACTTTTTTATCAACTGGGTGGTTAAAAATAAAAAAACTGATTACCTGTTGCAACACAGAAGCAGCGTGTGGTCTTGTTTCTGCAATGAGAAGTCATTTCAGCACCATGGATAGCGCTTTGTAGTCACCGACCTTGTTTTTCCTTCAGTTTGTGGAGAATGAAAGTCTCTGCCTTTAAAAAAAATAATAATAAYGCTAGTTAGGTTGCTAATTGTTGATGCTAATTTTTGAGTTGTGCAGGAAAATCTAAATCTTTTGCAGTTTTAAATTTAAAAAATCGAGCAGAAGATAATTTCCCATTTAAAGCAACACAATGTGCACCCCTCGTGCAGCTATTATTATTTCAGACACAATTGCATATTAACGTCCCTTTTCTCCACGTCTCACAGCTGCTTATCATATCATAAAGCTGCCTGTTTAAACTGCTACCAGCATTTTAATTTGACAGCAGCGTGTTACCTGTTGTGTCTGCCTCTCCTGGTCGTGCCTTCATCCTGATTTCACCCAGCTCCCCTTCTGCTGCCGAGGAGGCTGCTTAGGAAGGATTAGACATTGTTTCCCTGACACACAGGCCTCCCATCCCAGCCCTCTGATTGGCAGACATAATCCCCCCATTCACCGAGCCGTCGTTACCCCCTGTCTCTGGAATACGCCACGGTCCACTGCCTCCCTCTAGAAACGGCAGGGCTTGATAAGGGGGCCTGCTGGCTGCATTGCATTAAGCTTTTCAATATATATATATA